TACGCAAACACACAGACATACACAGTCACAGTCATAGACACAGACAGAGACACAGATACAGACACATACTCACACATATATATACACGCACACTATATATATATATATATATATACATATGTCTGAATTTATATACATAAACAGCCCTGTATATTCTAAAGACAACAACATATGATCATTTCATACCGTCGACGACAGTGGCATTGTGTTCCTTTGAGTTGGTGTCTTGCGGTGTCTTTAGTTCGCTGAGTCGCCCGCAGTTGTCGAGCCTATGCACATCCACCTGATGCATAGGCGATGATACAGATACGAAGTATTAGTCTAGGTGTAGAGGTACGGATACAGGCATGCGGCATATGCATGAATGTGGTGAATACATACTTGTATGTTGGCCGGCCCACTCATCTGTGAGTTTGTCAAGACATTGATATAAATTTGTCAATACATTCCTGTTAGCTTATGCACACCTCACATATAAGTTTCATATACCTAGGTGATATCCATGGAGAGGTACAAGCAAGTGAGATGAAATTGTATCCGGGATAGGGTGACTCTGAGATCGTAGCTCCGTTCACATACGTGATATAAAAAAATTCAATTTTGACCCAATCAAAACATGTTATGACTCACAGGACAGGCGCTTGCTCTGATTGGCAGAGAATGTGTAGTTAATTAGCACTGGCAAAGCATGCTGACGTTTGGTCGCGACAGACAATGGTAGGTATGAGGTTATCAACTGAAATAGCAATGCTGTCTATAAATAGAAATACTACCTACAACCCAGAGGGCCCAGGCTAAAATAAATAGAAATACTATCTACAACTGAGAGGGGGATACTATAAATAGAAACACTATAAACATGCAGGTAGATTGGAGAGAAGGTCTACGTACACATACCTCCATACCCACAACAGCTATAACAAAATTCATATCTACTACAGCTATGCCACTGGATAGACCATTCAGGACAAACTTGCCTCCTTTAAACGTGGGAGTAACTTATCGATCCAGGAGGGATCCACCGGACAGACGTTAATCATATAGGCCTGCAGTAAATGAAGGACGTGAGAGGGTGGTTATCAACAAACAACAAACAACACACACAAACACAGTGCCCAAGACATACTCACGACAACTGCCGAGACACTTATGTATGCCACTTGACACACATAGTTCATGATGGCAGACATTTTGTAGAAGTGATGTCATATTTACTCTTGAAGTTTGTCATACATACTGTAGAAGTGATGTCATATTTGCGCTAGAAGTGATGTCATACATAAAGTTGAAGTGATGTCATACATACACTAAAAGTGGTACGTACATAGCCATGCACAACCCAGTCCAGCCGACTTGTGAGCATGCAGTACTGAGCTGAAGTGAAGAAGCACAACTTGACATCTCGAAACACACATGCATGGACACTCACATCCACACACACTCACATCTGAAGTAAGCGTAGAGGGTCATGCATACATATCCCAGAAGTGGTTTGTCTATAGCCACACACACACATCTGAGGAGAGCGTAGAGGGTGATACATACATACCCTAGGAATGGTCTGTCTATAGTATACATACATACACTAGAAATGGTCTGTCTATAGTATACATACATACCCTAGAAATGGTCTGTCTATAGTATAGATACAAACCCTAGAAATGGTCTGTCTATAGTATACATACATACACTAGAAATGGTCTGTCTATAGTATATATACATACCCTAGAAATGGTCTGTCTATAGTATACATACATACCCTAGAAATGGTCTGTCTATAGTATACATACATACCCTAGAAATGGTCTGTCTATAGTATATATATATACCCTAGAAATGGTCTGTCTATAGTATACATACATACCCTAGAAATGGTCTGTCTATAGTATACATACATACCCTAGAAATGGTCTGTCTATAGTATACATACATACCCTAGAAGTGGTCTGTATATAGCCATACACAACCCAGTCCAGCCGGCTCTCTTGGCCATGCAGTACTGAGCCTGGGTGTAGGTGTACAACACTCCCATGGCCCTACAGGGGTAGAAATAGTGCAGGTAGCGTTAAGAAATATGGTACACATACGCACGGTGGTGTGTGTACGTCGCTGATAGAATTTTCTATCAGGTACTCTACCTCAATAGAAACATCATCATAACCCGAATAATCCAAATTATTTATTGTAGAAGGTAGTACAGATACGGACAAGTGGTGTCAACATGTTTCATATGCACACACACACACACACACACACACACACACACACACACACACATATATATATACACACATATATATATACATACATACATAAGATAAATATATGCTTATTCATATTCATACATACACACATACGTATACACACAAACGCATGCGAATGTACATGAGCTCATATAAAACAAACACATACTCTCATACCTACAATCAAATAGTGTACCTGCTTTGTAACAAACGATGTTTGTCCCACCACCCGCCTGGCTGCACACCCAAAGAGTCCGGCGGAGAAAGCACGCCTGACACTTTGACACGTGTCAATGTCGAGTACTCTATCTGCAATCGCTCGAGACGCCCGTTTACTCACACATGGGAAGCCTGGGAATATGACAATACGACAAAATAAACTACAATACGACACAGGGAAGCAATTCAGATCTCAATGCTGCTATTAGGTCTGAAAGTACTCGGGTGCAACTGTGTACGTGATGCATGTGTATATGTATGCATGCATATGTGTATATATGTTTATCTGTATGTATGTGCATATGTATATATGTACATATGTATATATGTACGTATGTATATATGTATATATATATACTTATGTGTATGTCTACATATTTAGATGTGGGTTAGCTTCTAATGACCGTCCCCAATCGAATGCGACAATCATTCGTTCACACACGGGATGTGTGGCAGTGATCCAATACGATACAGGAGACCATGTGCCGTATCTCAGCGTTATATATAATTATAGCTATGTATAGATGCATGTATACACATGTATGCATAAATATACCTATGTATTTATACACATAAAGTATGCTATACGTACTAGACCTTAGTACTATACATACTTTACATACCATACTTAGATAGTATCTTTAGTATTTATAGTAGACATACTATATAATCTCATGCACAAGCCCCACTACACACAACACTCTCGAAGTATGCGCGGGTGGTGTGTGTTGATCCCATGTATGCTAAGCCAAAATGGTTGTGGTTGTACTGCTGAAGTCACCACAACATCCACAACACACACTCGCGCACACACAGGCAAGCTCAATACACACCTTGCTATAGGTAGTCATAATGTATATTCACACGCCTTGCCATAGCTAGGTAGGTATAACGCTTTTTGCACACCTTCCTATAGGTAGGTAGGCATAAGACTCGATCACACACCTTGCTTCGTCACAATACTCTCCAGTTGTGTTCGTATGTTCTGTACGGTAACGAGTGATCGCTGGTACGCCAACATGGGATTATTCACTCACATCTTGGTATAGGTAGTCATAATACTATTGCTATAGATATGTACGATACTTATTTACACACCCTGTTACAGGTAGGCGAGACGTATTTCCCACACCTTGCTTCGTCACAATACTCTCCAGTTGTGTTCGGATGTTCTGTGCGGTGACGAGTGATCGCTGTCGTATGTGATACTGTCGCGCCCATTTGGCATTGCAACCCGAACACACCCACGCTTCATAGATGAGTAGCAGAAAAGTGTAGTCACACACCAGGGAATTACCTAAGTGAATGGTTACAGGTAGGTATAGTAGGTACAATCAGGAGGTAGATATAGTAGGTAAAACTGTTGTGGATGAGCAGCAGAAAAGTGTAGTCACACACCAGGGAAGTACCTAAGTGAATGGTTACAGGTAGGTATAGTAGGTACAATCAGTAGGTAGATATAGTAGGTAAAACTGTTGTGGATGAGCAACAGGAAAGTGTAGTCACACACCAGCGCATTTAATAAATGAATGGGCATAGGTAGGTATAGTAGTAGGAATAAATAGTAGGCATGAATAGTAGGTGGAATTGTTGCAGATGAGCAAGAGGAAAGTGTAGTCATACACCAGCACATTACCTTAATGAATGGGTATAGGTAGGTATAGTAGTAGGTATAAATAGTAGGTATGAATAGAAATAATACGTACGACTGTTTTAGATGAGCAACAGGAAATTGTAAACACACACCAGCCCACTACCTAAGTGAAAGGGCATAAGTAGGTAGAGTGGGTAGTAGTATAAATAACAGGGGGTAGGTACAAATAGCGCGTGGTAGGTACAAATAGTGAGCTGTAGGTATGAATAACAAGGGGTAGGTACAAATTGCGGGCAGTAGGTACAAATAGGGGGTTGTAGGTATAAATAACAAGGAGTAGGTACAAATAGCAGGTAGTAGGTACAAATAAGGGGTTGTAGGTATAAATAACAAGGAGTAGGTACAAATAGGGTGTTGTAGGTACAAATAACAAGGAGTAGGTACAAATAGCGGGCAGTGGGTACAAATAGGTTGTTGTAGGTACAAATAACAAGGAGTAGGTACAAATAGCGGGCAGTGGGTACAAATCGGGTGTTGTAGGTACAAATAACAAGGAGTAGGTACAAATAGGGGGTTGCAGGTATAAATAACAGGGAGTAGGTAAAAATAGCGGGTAGTAGGTACAAATAACAGAGAGTGGGTAAGTTCTAAGAGTGATCGTGATCCTGAAAAAAAAAGGCGTTGAATGAAGTATTTGGATACTATTCGAGTATGAGCAGTAGGTATATGTGATCATACACAAGCGCCACCCCTATGTCCAGTACTTTCGCATCATTGGGCACCTCGTGCGAAAACGTAGATAAATTACGTAAATACTTCAAAATGCCACAGTTGCTTACCACTTGCACGCGTCTTTAGTTCCTCCCATAGCTCAGTCTTCGCTTCCGCGTCATCGGGTCCCATACACGACGTATTAAACGAAAACGTACTAAAATACGTACACCACTCCAAAATCCACATTTACATACCACCAAACAAAATGTATTAAACATAAACGTACTGAACTACAGAGATACGTCAGTTCTCACATATACCTACCACATGCATGTGTTTTTAGATCGTCCCAGAGCTCTGTCACCGCTTCTGCGTCATCGGGCCGCGGTCGGATAAAGAGATTTTCGACTGTTAATTGAGCCACTACAATCAACACCTGCATGCAACAGTAAACAGCAGGCTATAAATAAAATACTACAAATAACTTTCTGTGAATAGAATTCTGTAATAGAATCCTGTAAATAGGGTTCCATAAATAGAATGCTATATATATAATTACATAAATAGAATTCTATAAATAAAACTCTATAAATAGAATTCTATAAATAGAATTCTAAAAATAGAATTCTAAAAATATAATTTTATAAATAGAATTCTATAAATAGAATTATATAGATAGAACTCTATAAATAGAAACTCTATAAATATAAAATTATATAAATAGAGGGTTGTAGATTAAATGGGGTCTTTTTCTCCCCAGCACGGGTTAATCCAGGTCCTGGGTCGGTTGAATATGTCGATTGCTATAGCAACAAACCCGTCTCACAGACCTTTTCACAAGACTAAGCGTAGGACACTCGCCAGCGAATACAAAAGGATCAGCTCTGGACTTACCCGTGTTGTCCGTTAAGCAATATAAACTGAGTGACTAAGTTGCAACATATAATGGACATCTCTATGTGTACCAAAGCGTTTGTTGCGAGTTATACAGGAGTGGATATGTGGAGTGCTGCAAGCAAACGGGCAAGCACACACATGCCTATGTATGCTTACTACACACACACACACACACACACACAAACACACAAACACACACACACACACACATATATATATATACGTATACTGCTTCGCGAATCCCCTCAACTCAACAATCATCAATGTCCAGTAGACATAATTCAGAGCTGAAACTGGTGATAATTAAAACCCTAAACCCCTTGAACCTTTACGTTGAAAGTAGCCCAACGTTAACGGCAAAAGTATTCCAAGTTTCCGTTAAAAGTAGCTCAATGTTAACGGGAAAGCGTTAGCGGTAAAAGAAGCTCAACGTTAACGGTAAAAGTAGCTAAACTTTAACAGTAAAAGTAGCTCAATTTGAGTATTGCGACTGATATGCACTGGAAGTGCACAGCACTCCATACACGTGTTCGCCAATTTTTATTCACGAGGGTTTAGGGTTTAGGGTTTTGGTTTCACACACATACTGATCTCCTGCTTAATCTCATACAAGCTGACAGTTGACATACATACGCACATGCACTTGGATTTAAATTCTCAGTCCATGCCGCATGATCAATCTACCTAGCCACATAAAGGTATTGAATATATATTTAGACGTGTATTCGTCAATATACGTTTTTTTACTACGTATATATATATATATATATACATAGGCACAAATATATATATACACATACATACATACATACACATAAACACACACACACACACACACACACAC